AGTTCAGAAGGGGGGGGGGGGTCCAGTTATTTATTATAGTGGAGAAAAATTTGACATGTAACGATTATTGCTACCACAAGGAGGTAGCAATAATTGTTTTGCTGGTTTGTTGGTTTGCCGTGTCAAGTCCGAGTGAAATTCGAGCCTGAGTCAAATGTTCAAGTCACTGGCTGTTTGGCGGTCTTTGTAGTTCATTGACGTAGTACCCTGTACCCTACAGGACCTTATTCCTAACCCAGGGCCGTAGCAACCACTAATCATTCTTTTTCCAAAATCATGCAGATCATCCATTCTCATTCATGCTAATCATTCTTTTTCCAAAATTATGCAGAATCATTTAAATAATATACCTTTAAAATACTGACAATTGATTAATTTTAAGCGGCTACATTACCCATGACAAACTGCAAAGAATGAAATTATATTTTTCATACTTTCCTGCAACTTATCCAATATTGATATAGTTCATTAAATACGCCTTTGCCCATTTAGTGCTACTAAATTGTAAATTTCGACATAATCTAAAATGATGTTTTCTGACCATCAGAATTCTGTCAAATCTTCCCCAAAGTCCAGGAAATGGCATTTCAGAGACTCTAAATTTAAAAATTTCCTCGGGCCTTTGGCCCTCAAAGCTCTGCTAGGCATGTCCCAATTGTGCTCAGCAACTGTACATTTATTATATTGTCGGTGGTTGTGGGGGGGGGGGTTCATTATTTTTTAGAATTCATGTGAAGGGGGTCATTGAATTTTTTTGTGATGCAGGGGGTGGGGCAGGACATTTTGTTTAGTTGTTAATTGAATTTTGCCAGCCCATCCCCGGTCATAAATAATGAATGGTCCCTAATGTCGCTGTAAATATTAAATTAACAACAACGGTGCCCTTTTTGTTTGGAAATTTCCAAGTTTTTTAAAAATATTTGGTCAAAAACGTGCAATTTCGGTATGGTAAGACGGAGACATTTTTCTTCTCCCGCCACGTCGCCAACATTTCGGGGGAAAATGTTTTAGGTGCCCTTTTCAATACCCTGAAGTGCCCCTAGAAGCCGATGCCCCCCCCCCACAATCTTTTGCTTTGATGCTTCCTACGCCCCTGATTGCATCTTGTTTTCTACAGACCAATTTTGAACACAATCGACTGTATCTTGAATATTTCTGGGTGTGTTAATGTGAATAATTTCAGATACCGTAGCATCATCGATGTATTTCCATCGCTCATGATGTGTGGGGGTGGGGTGGGGGGTAGGTTATTTATCATTAGGATGAATAACCAAGGTTCCAATTTGGTTCCTTGAGGGACACCGGAAGGAATGTCAATCCAATCCAATACAGTCGCTTGCAAGTTTAATCCGTTGTTGTCTGTTCATCAGAAATTCAATTACCCACTGCATAAAGAAAGTTGGCATTGGCAATTGGATGATCTTCGTGGCTAAGATCTTATGATCAATCAAGTCGAAGGCCTTTTTATAGTCAAAAAGAACCACTCTTACAGCGTTTCCAGTTCCATCTGTGGCTTTAGTCCACGTGTGAAACATAGAAATTAAGGCTTTTGTAGCAGATGATCGGGGGATGCCACCAAATTGAAAAGAATCAATTGACGACAACACTGCTGGAGCGATATAATTTTCAACAACAAAATCTTCTGCAAGCTTGGATAGAGTTAACGAGATAGGTCGGAGCTGTTTGCTTATGTCTTTAACAGGTTTCTCTTTCGTAATAGGCGTAATATTAGCTTGTTTCCAGCATGAGGGCAGTCTTTTTTGCTTGTAGGAGCAAGGATTTTGGCATAATAACGAAGAATCCAATTTGGGATATCATCAAGGCCCGGAGCTTTGTGCGGGTTCAAGCTATTCACTATTTTGAAGACCCATGCAGTATTTGTCAAATTCTTGTCTACATCTAATGGATAATCAGGAATCTCCTCAAACAAGGTACCGGTGTTCAAATCTGTGACTGATAAGTATTCATTGGTTTTATTAGGCTTTTGTTAATTAAATCTGCAAAACCTTTGTATGTTAAATGTTCTGTATCTTCGACATGAAGTTGGTTAAGCAAACTGCCAGGTACATGTCTCATACCGGAGATACGTTTAACCTCTGTCCACCAAGATTTGGGGTTAGATTTTTTCAGATTAGGTGGACTTCAAAGATTTGGATTCTTGCACTTCACTTGGTGGAATTAATATTAGAATGTTAGGGTTTGTAATCCAAGTGAGTATATATACATTTTAAAACCTGACCAGGAACGACTGTGAAAAATGCAGCACAAGGTCCTCTGGTAGGA